AACAGAGCCTCCCTCAGCATGTCTTTCCACTGTGATGGCACAAATAAACTTGTTCATTTTGCATTACCTGAGCCCTCAGGACAGGTGCAGGAGTCTTTATTCCATCTTGCTACTAGTTAGGAGCACTCAGGAGGGAATCAGTAAACTCCCTGAGTCTTTCTCTCCCTGAGAAAAATAAGTTGTAGGCCAACAGAATGTTGACCAAATTGCTCTATACATTTCATTAGCACTTGAAATGTTCCTAACATTGTTTTCTCTTTGCTTGACGCAGACAAAGAAGTACAAGTCATTGCCATTGCAGAGAGCAAGAGAGGGTTTATAGATCATTTCACCTTAATATTTATGGGGAAATTATTTCAATGCATATCCAAATGGATAAGCAGTAGTCCTGATTTCTCTCTCTTGTACAACAGGGCAATATTTGTTTTGATTTAGCAGCATTTAATCCCTCTGGACAAATTAAAGTGGTGCAAGATACTGATTTTCTGTATGTCTGCAGCTTTTTTTTTTTTTCTGCCACCACAGAACGTTTTTTCTGCATGTAAGTATTTCTCCATAAAAAACAGACAAGCAAGATAAAATCTTTTGCCATAGCCATTTTTAGAGGCACAATAATCTGGAAAACGTGCAAAAATTTCTCTAATAATTATTGATGTCATTAAGCTTCCCACTCTTTGACAATGGAATTCTCTTGCCCCCAGTAGCAGCAGTTCTGCAGGGTTCCTTCTACTTTCTTTGCTATTATCTTTTATGAAAGTCGGTCATAAAATCAAATGTGCTCCCTCAAAACAACTTCCATTTTTACTTTTTAAAACCAGTGTTCTTATTTCTTTACATATATTTTTTCCACATTAATGGGAAAATATTCCAGTAAAACATAAAAAAATAGACCATGACTTGCCTTGTATTTCATGTACTTAGGAAATGAAAGTCAAAGATCTGCACTAAAGATTTTCAAAGCACCCATTTGACTTCTTTATGAAAATGCTTAACTTTTTCATAAAGAAGAAAAATTCCAGAGAGTCTGAAGTTTAAAGCAGAATTTAATGATCTTCTAAGTAAAGCTTCTGGCTTCTCAAGCTCAATCACTGGAATTTTTTGCCAGGCTCTCTTCAGGCCAATTTGATTAAATAAAGTGGGTACTAGAACACCCTGTCACTGTTACTGTTCTCATTCTCTCCAACCAGAAGGTAACAACTCCCACAGAGTCCCTGTGCGTATTCCTCACAGCGAAGTTTTACCTACTGTTTAAAATAGCACACACTGCAAAGTGCATAGGTACGTAACTCTGACTTTGTACCTTTTCCATTATAAAGAAAAAGATATATACACATATGTATATATGTACATACATATAAACAAATGCAGGAGAATTGTTTATTTCTCTCCTCTTAAAAATCAGCATTTTTAATACGGTCACTATTAGTGTCTAGCTGCTCTCTTCAATGAGAGTATGACTGCACTCTCATTCCTCCTCTTGCACACAATTATTGCTGTGCTGTTTTCTCTAGTTTTATTGGTGGCAGAAACAAATTTGCCTTATAAGAAGAGTTAATTATCTCTAGGCAGATTTAATTCCTTGCCACAGGCTCAAAATCCATGAGCATATAATCTTTCACAAATCAAAGCATATTTATCTCTTTCATGCATCATTTACAATTCCTAGATGAAGTACTGCTGGCATTATACCTGTATTTTAGACACCTCTCTTTCCTACAACCTGTGCTGTAGAAAAGAAAGCATATTTGACCTCTACTATTTTCCTGTCATTTATTTTATTGCCTGTTTATCTGGTTCCTTTGCTCTGCTTTACTACCTGAGGGCCAGAGAGGGAAAGCTCGGTTCAAAAATGGCAGCTGAAGAGCACTTCAGCATGGTGCACCTCTTCATATTTGTACAGAACAGAACTTAGGAGTGGTAAAACTTCACAGGTGAAGAATGTGCTGAGTTCTCAGTTGCTTGGCTTACAAGATGGAGCAGCAGAACTACTTTATAAATGAGCTCTGGGTTATTACAAGGTGAGAGTTTGCTGTTAGAGGTGCTCCAAGAAGACAGACTGGATTTCATGTCTGCATGTGCAGACAGGGCAGTGCACCCACTTTCTTCATACATAGACAGGCACACAACACATGCACACATAAGAGATAGGCATATCCTGGTATGTGGATTTTTTCTCCAGCCTCCTTATCCACAAGCTTGAAGCCAGAAGCAGCACAGACTTGAGCTCCCAACCCTTCACCACCCTCTGTGCATCTCACCTGCTACTGTTGTGCCCTGTGTCATAACTATTGTGCTAACTAGCCAAAAAAAAAACCAAAAGAGACCTAAGTAGCCTCAATAGTGGTAGAATCAAAGGGCTTTGCAGGATGCAAGCTGCCAAGCTGATCACCTCTTACGTTTAGTGCCTTCTCTTTGTAGGCACCAATATGAATCCTCAAAGCCATGGTATCCTACAGCTTCATCTCCAGCTCCTCCTACAGCAGATATACATTCTCCTGAGTTTCTATTATTTTGAAGAAAAAAAAAAAGTTTCTATTTTACTTACAACTTTACTCCTATTAAACATACAGTTTATCCATTTATATCCAACACTCTGTTATGAGCTGTGGATTCTCATTTTAAGTAGAGAAAGATGCACAAATGTTGCACCTGTTATATGCATTAACCAACCCTTTGGCATCAACCAGGTTGACTAACAAATGTAGGTTCTCTAATGTAGGTTCTCTAATTGGATATGGGTTTTGTTTACATGTAATTGCTGCTGTTTATCATTCAAAACATTTGTCCTTTAATATATTCAGCTGCATCTCTTTTCAAGACTAGGCTTCTACATTCTCTGCTTCAAATTGCTTTGCAGCACCATGAAGGTCTTCTGGAATGAGATTTAAAAAAAAAAAAAAGTGTTGCAATGAATTTTTCACTTGCATTAAAAACTAATGTCCACACATCAGCATTTCTCTCAGACCTGTAAGCTGTGCTGCAGAACAAAGGTGCTAACAGGATGAGCCAGCTTTGCAACTTCTTTCTCTTATTTTGGCTCAAGCTTTTTAAGTCAGTGTTTCCTAAATGTAAACTACCTCCCATAATAAAGCTTGCAGAATGCATTTATTGTTAAGTATTCTCAATAATTTGTTGTTCTGTCTCATTATGTTTAAAGTTCTGAGAATAAATATAATGCATTTGTCTCCATCTTGCACTTTATTGGGCATTATTGCACCAATTTTACCAAACACACTAACCCTAGACTATATATTAATCATGTGTGGACTTCTGGTATTCAAGTCAGTTTACTCAAGATGTATGCAGCATCTTTAGGTATTCCTTTTTTCACTACAGAGCAGCACTTTACTCAGCAATTTTGTTTTGTAGTTGGATGGATAACTGCTTGCTGTTAGTGTTATCTTTTGAGGCACACGATTCACAACTGATTTTTACAAGCCCTACATTAGCTTTTCCATATGAAAGCCTGCTGTACTTTTTCATTGTTTATATGGAATGTTAATTCCCTTTCTCAGATCAGAAAGAAGAAACCTGAAAACAATCATTTAGAAACTTATTTTTTCCTCCTCCAGATCAGCACAGAACTGCTGAGTTCAAAACAAATGCTGTTTTAGTTCTTCTAGGTTACTGAGAAAAATCAGACCCTTCATTTTCAAAGCTGCCTCTGACTGTACTGCACAGAAGCCACAATGCAGTTACTGAATACTGATGTTGATAAAAGCTTAAAGAACTAACAGTGATAGCTGTTCTCTTGCTTGTCCTTCACAGCAGTGCACTACCATGGATGGAAAAAAAGAAAAGAAAAGAAAAAAAAGCTGATGTATTAAGATATTTCTTTTTTTGAGTTTTTCTGCTGCATCCACCCTGCTGGAATTGCCTATTCTTACAATCAAATAAAGAGGCCCTAAGTTTAATATAGATTTTTTTCAAGAGTCTTTCTTCCCTACACCCACCTTCTCTTTCTCAAGCTGAGAGCACCACAGTACTGTTAAAAGCTTATGCTTCTGATCTCTGTACAAATAAATGAGCCAAAACAAATAAAAGGCAGTTCACAAGAGACTTCCAAGACATCTGGTGGAGTTATTTTTCTAAGTAATTAGACCAAGTGGTGGTGTAATTCCCAAATGAAAGGTACCTTCTTGTTTAGTATCCTGCTATTTCTCAGAGCCATCAAAACTGCTGTTTTGAGTTTTTGAAGTAAGTTTCCCTTCTCTCCTTGCATGTTACTCCAACTCAATTGATTACCAGTCTTCCCAAATTGGAACAATCATATCTTTGATTTCCTCTAGATAATAGCTCAAGTTTTTAAGCTTTGCCTCCAGCCCCCATGAATGCCATTGGATTTCAGATACTGACTGAGGAAGGATGAGGCTCTGGGCTTTTTATTTCTTTCTCTTCCTTGCGAACATACTGTTCTCCATCATATGGGCTCTGTGGAGCAGGTGTAACAGAATAACAGCCAGGTGCTTTCTCTGGATCAATACCCTGCTCTAAACTGTGCTCACATGTACTTTCTCCTTCCTTCATAGAATCATCCTAGAAGATGATTTTTTTTTCTTTTTCTTTTTCCTATTTCCCCCCAGATCTCCCTATGAAAAACTCTATTCTAGGAAGAACCCATGTACTTTTCAGCACTTTCTGGAAATTGTGATTCTTGGTCTGTACCTAAAATGCAGAACAACCACTCAGAATCTGTGACACTAGAGAAGTGAACAAAGAGGTAGATTTGGCTAAGGAAACAATTCTCTATTTCCTGTGAAAGGTCCTTATGGTTTTTGGTTCAGATGAGAGTAGGACACTCTACAAATCACATTTTACTAATTGACCAGAATGCAGACACTACCTCTGTGCTATGACACCTAGTGCTCAGTATTGCCAGTTACAGAATTCACAACTGCATCAGGAGTAAAGAAAAGTAGCTGCCATATGAATAGCTGCTAGATTACAAAGGTCAGCTTGATATGAAGCATTTTAATTCTCATAACATAATGGAAACTCACCAGAGGTTTCATCTACTCTCTCATCCACCACATGGTCCTTCTGATGAACCCATTCACTGTTGCATTTAAAATAGATCTGTGTGGCTGGGCTTGCTTTGCAGTACAGATTCACAGGTTTGTTTTTCACTATGTAAGCTTCTTCGGGTTCAATGAGAAAGTGGGGCAATGGCTCTGGAGGATCAGAAGGAAAAGTTTCTGGAAGTTCATGAAAAAAATCATCATCTGCAAAAAAAGAAACAAGAAGGGCAAATGAAACAACGAAAATTCAGCTGTCAAAGACTCAAAAGTACTTCCTGATCATGCTTTTCAAATAAAAGGTTATCTTAGACAGAGGCTTAAATGCACTGCTGTTTGCAGACTAGAAGAAATATTTCTTTACATCCTCAGTTCTCCTTTCTCTATGTGATGTGACAGCGATGTGCACATTCATATGACTGGAAATGGCCCTTTGTTATCATCACCAGCAACACAAGCAATAAAACATTATGTTAGCACTTGGGAGAGTTGACTGAAAAACCATAAAAAGAAATAATAGAAACTTTTGAAGGCTTCAAGGTCACACTTTACTATTGTGACTTATCACTGTGTTTAATCAAGTGAATGCACAGAGCAAGTATAGGCTGAGGATGTTACAAATAGGAAATAACGCCTTTCATTTTAGATGAACAATTTTAAATTTTCTTTAAGAGCAGAAGACTAAATGCATGTCCAGTCTATGCCTCTTTGTTCAGCACTCAGACTGTCGTGAAGACTGCTAATGAGAGCGTCAAGCTGTATTTAATGTATTTGGTTTGTGGCACCATTGTCTGTGCTGTTCCCACCATGGAGAGGATGCAGGAGCTGCAACACAGGGCATGGCAGTTGTGAGAGGGTGAAACTTTGGACCAGTGAAACCCATGCTATAGATTTAAGGAACCCATGCACCTCCCTGGAGCTGCTGGTCATGAGTAAATTCAGTGCAAGAAGTCTGAAGAAGAAGGAAAAGAGTCCAAATAAACAGAAGAAATCACTAAAAACACCCAACCCATGTACCTTCTTTCTCTTGCTCCCCTCTTCACAAACCTCTCTTTCAAGCCCTTTTGCCCCTTTCTGCTTAGTATTTATACACCAGAAAACACCAATTTAGTAGAGATAGCATCATTTCAGTTGAGAACAACCCCTGTCCCACTCGCTGTCAATGCATGCAAGAATTAGGGGAGGGTGGGGCCAGGTGGGATCGCCAACGCCAAATGGTGACAGATCCATCAGCAATAAGCTTGATGGTCCTGAGAGCTCTACTCAACCTCATCCTTTCTGCCTCTGAAGGAGTTATCACTATAAACAGTGATGGACGTTGCTGGTGAGCAATAAAACAGCACAGAACATCAAACTAAAAGCCCTGCAGAAGGCTGGCTATCTCTTCCCTTCCAGTCCTCACGAAGACAAAATGTCAGGCAGCTCCTTCTCCTACCTAGGACATGCCTGAACCAGCTGTTCCAAAATTACATGGGCTTGGAAGACTTCTTCTAGCCATAGCATTGCAGAAAGATGAGAAAGAGCAGTAACAGAAGGAGAAAATGGGACGAGAAGGCAGCTGGCTGCCCAGGGAGCACCCTGTGCAGTAAGAGACTTTGTGAGCCTCTTGAACTGCTTATGAATATAGCATAAGTTCACCTTTTTTTTTTCACATTAATTCATAATCGTCTAGCATTTTTTCCCTAGTTTAATGAGCTTGTTTCATTGCCACATCACTCCTTCAGAGATAAGACAATGGAGCTGTTAAATGTACGAAGAAAGGACCACTAAATACAGCCTGGCATTTTTCTAGCAAAGAGAACATCTGTGACATACAATAATAATTCAGTTTCCATCTCCGATGCTCCAAATATTTCAATTTAATTTTTAACACTTTCCTTCCTTCCTCTTTCTCTTTCCATTCTGACCAGTTCAGACACCCTTTCTGCAGTCCTCTGTCCACTTCTCATTAGGTATTTCTTCCTTGCTCTGTTCTGCTCTCCAGTTCTTTCCAAAGGGAATGATGATATTCAGTGAGCGAGGTGACACAACATTTGGTTTCCTGACAAAGAAACATGCCTAAACTGAAGCAAAAGGATTTCCAGCATTCTGCCTGTAACTCCCCACTTTCCCACTGCTTCCCTCCCTCACACACTTGCTCCACAGCCACATGCAGCACAGCAACATTAGAGATGAATCATTTCCCCTGAATTGCCACAGGATGTATCTTTTTCTTCTGGTCATTTAATTGCAAATCAGTGAGCAGACAGATGGAAACTAACAAAGCACACATATGTTTCATAATTAAACAAGTATTGCTTCACTAATTTCTGGTGACTGGAAGAATAAATGTATTTATTTTCACCTCTAGATTTCAGCACATTATCAAAAGCAATACTTCTGCTGCCTGACCAATTAACTGCATCTTAGCAAAGATGTAAGTAGAAAGTCTAAAAGGAAGGAGAAGAGAGCTGCAGAAAAGACAAAGGTGTGGGTTTTCTTGCTGCGTTCAAATTGTTGGAAAAGTTTATTCCGACAAGCAAATAAACAGGACCCAACCCAAGTCACATGTTGGTGGATTACAGGTAAAGCACAGACTGCTCATTCGGAGTGGGATTTAGAACCAAATTCAGATAAAATTTTGCATTTTTTAAAAATGGAATTATATACTGTTATGCTTTCATAGTGATGTTTGCAGCAATGTAAATGGATAATTATAATGGTAGTGTATTACTATTCTGAAAGATCAAACACATTTACTTCTGAAAACATCAATACAGAATACTTGAAAACACTCAGAATTTTTGCAACCCTCTACAAAGCAAGCTTTCAGCAGAACTTAAAGTCATTTGATGAATCTGTGCTTTCATTAAGCCACGTTTCCAATGATTTTATAAATACTTCCATCAAAGGTTCTCCTGACCAGTTAAGCATGGGCCATTCCTCTGCCCAAAAGAGTACCGACTTAGTTTTCTGAGGAATTACTGTGTTTCAACTATGACCCAGTGGGTCTGTTTCTATAGAGCAGGTGGAGTGCAGCTCTCACAGTGTGTTCCATCTCTATACAAGGGGATAAATCTTGTCTGAGAGTTTGATCTCAGTCTTCCTGGTGATCCTCTCTGGTTATTTAAAATTTTTATCTCCCAATTTGTCAATGAAGAAGCAAGTTTAATATTGTTCTTATTGAACTGTGCTGAAGAGGTAGACAATTTTTCCTCTGTCTGGAGGAAACAAACAAACTTGACTGCCAATCATTCTGCCATGGCTTCTTCACAACCTTGATCAAATACAAACACAAGTCATGCACACTTCTCCCCTGTTATAACAAAGCCCCTTTTGTGCTCAGCAACTTTGAGCTGCAAGTTTACTTCTGCAAGATGTCACATTCATCTTTATTTTCACATAATAAAGTGTACAGCCCATCTGTTGTTATTGACTGATTTATGTTAGCAAGACAAAAGACCTGATTAATGGTACCACTAAACTGATTTCACTTATGCAATTCATTCATATTAAGAGAGTAAATTTTAAAAAGTCCTTTTAATCTATAAATTTAATTTGGATTTTATTTTAGTTGCTGGCCTGAATACAGATGTGCTTTTCTATGTGCCTTCTGTAGTATCTGACAATTTTATATATATTTTAAGTGCAAATGAAATGCAAAATCTATAGGAATAGGTAAAGTGTTACTGAAATCAGCACTGAAGCTGGCACAGAATGACGCACATAGAAATTTCAGTTTAATTTTAGTTTAATTTTCTATGAAGCTAAAACAAACCTTTTTCTAAGCAAGAGCCTTTTGATGTCAACATCTTTATTCTTTTCATGCACTTGTTTGTAAAACTGTATGTATTATAGCTCTTCAAGCATAACAAGTGGAAAAAGAGATTTTATAGTACACTTCCCTTTTTATGGACTAGTATCCCTGTTCTAATCTGTGGCAGGAAAATATTGTGTTTCATACACCAATCTATTCATCTCTAGATCACTAGTTTTATTACTATATATCGAGATTTAATTCTCATCAGCCCAGTGTATAACTCACTATATTTCTAAACTGTAAGACTTACACTATTATTGCTTAGATCATAATAGATAGGACCATTATCTCCTCGCGTGAGACCTGCAGCAAATTCTTCTCAAATGGAATTCACTTCAGAATGAGTCAAAAGCAATTTAAAATGAATGGCTGTGAAGCTAATTCCGTTTGCATTTGGATGCCCATCACTTGGCAAGATCATTCCCTGTGCATTGCAAGGAAGGCAGCCGGAGCTAACTGTATGGATGGGATTTCTGTTTGGTTTTTAATGTTATGATTAAAAGCTTTCTAGAGCAACGAGTATTGTTTACTGTGAGATTAACAGCAGGTGCTAGCTTGGTAAGACAGCTTTCTCAGGATGGAGGCAATGGTTTGTACTACAGTGCTTGCTTCCTGAAAATAGAAAGGGACAAATCGCTCAATTCCAAGCCCTTTGGTCCCAGAATTTTCTTAATTCCCAGGAAGGGTATGCAATATCATGCTGCTACCAGATGGGAAGCATGAAAGCAAAAATCCTGCATGCCATACAGCGTGCTTCCACCTTACAGCCCATTTATGTTGCCTGAGCTAGAAACTTTGCCACGACAATTAGGCCAAACAGCATGAGAAGTGGGAGAAAAAGGACTTCTTCAAAGATGCAATGAGATGTTATGTGTAAGCAAGAAGCAAGTTGATGGAGAGAATTACTGCCCTGTCAGAGGTCCCTCTTGTCCCTGTCCCACCCCAGGAGCCCTCTGAAAAGAGAAAGCATATTTCCCTGCCTTACCCTATGAAGGAAGAGGAGATGGTGGCTTTCTCAGCACCTTATCCTCTGCCAGCCCTGCAGCCAACTGATGGCAAGGGCAGCACGCTATGAGGCAATCACACCTTAATTCTTTAGTATCTCGAAGAAGAAAGATTTCATCAAAAGCCTGGGAAGATTGCAGTTTTATAACAGCATCATATTTAGCCAGCCTGGAAGGCTCAGATCTGCTTGCTTGGAGTGGAATTCAGTGCAGGCCTTCTGTATCTAAAAAAGAGTCCTTGGCTTTGTAGCAGCCCACAAATGAGATGCATGCAGAAACTTGTTGAACTCTATTAGAAACACACTGAAGGGGATTTCAGGCTTACATTTACTGAGCACTGACAAAAGTAAATGCACTTTCAGCAGCGAAAGCAGAGGGCAGGCACAGTTTGGGGGAAAAAAGAAGGGAGGGGAGGAGGATTGATATAGCATTCAATGAAATGGGCGAGTTCAGTTCAGAAACAAAATAAATAAATACCAGAAAGAAGAATGAACTTCTCCTGCACCCACAAGAGCTCAGTGCAGATAATCCTACCTTGCCTGAGTGACACCTCCCCAGGAGGACAAGCGCAAGCTCTGCATGGTATAGAATGAAAGCCATCAACACTGAGCAGCCATGCTTAGATCAGGAGGCTGCTGGGCAAGAGTATGCTCTCTAAACACACAAGCAAAACAAAACTCAAATACATCCTTTCTTTCCTTCTTTTATCCTCACCAAAAGAAGCAACTTCAGTATAGGTCCAGAAGCAATGTGCAGTCTAATGTCAGGCACAGGTGCCAACCTGGAGCCCTTTCTAATGCCAGGGCACGGTCATCTGTGGCATCTGAAATACTGCATTTTTAGTTCAACTTGAGTACAGGATAGAGGTTACTTCTGTCTGATGACAGGCCTCCTATACTGAACATAATGAATACATGAATAAATAAATAAAATCTAGGCTACCAGAGATCTGATGCAGTAATACTTTTCATTTTATCCACCTCATCTTGATCGGCCCACCTCAGCAAGCTGGGGAAAGCTTAAAGAGAGAAGAGAGCATCATCTTTCTTGTGTAACATCAGCACACAGCCCAACATTGCATGAGCTGAGAGCAGTGGTTCAAGAACTGGAAAGCTGCACAGCTGCAGAAGCAAGAGGAGCCTATGTACTTTTGCTGGCTTGCAGAACTGCAGTGAACAGGACTGCTCTCAATTGCACGCTTTGCTCCATTTTCCTGTTTCATATGAATGGAGCATGGTCAGATATTAAACCAATGGCAAAGGAAGATGAAACAGTAAACAGTTATCACTCTGACATGGCTAATGCGGACACCCTGCACAACTGGGTTACCTACAGCAATCAGCTTGTGCCCTGTTACCTCTTCCTTGGCTGTACCTTCTCCTTTCCTCCACATCGATGCTTAGCCTGGTAAAACTGTACTGATGGTAATCAAGTCATATATGATTTGCATCTGAGTAACAAAAAGGAAATTTAGATCAAAAGCAGGAGAACAATTTTATTTTTTACTTAGATGCACTAAAGAGTGTGTACTAGTTTTATAAAGCAATGTGCAAGTTACGTATCATTGCCTGGCAAAATGCATCTTCCCCCAGTTCGTTTAATTCATAATTATAATTAAATTAATTATTTTTCCTGAGGCCAATGGCAGTTTTATCATCACTCAGATCAGAGACAATCCAAAGACAGAATGTGTCCTCAAAATGATTCTTGCAGACTTCTGTATGAGACAGAGCTCTTTGTAGATCATGTTGCTAATCCAGCAGACATGGGTACAGACACAGACATGACATTTAAGGTGCTGTATCCAGATCTTTACCATTGCCTTGAGACAAACTCTGTCAGACTATAGGCTGCTGTGTAAACATACAGGGGATGGCACAGGTATTTGTTAGCATTGGACTCAGTATAGGAAAAAGCCAGAACAGAGTGCAATTTCACAGAAGGCATTGAAACTATTTTCTGCAGAATAAGAAAAGCAACAAGCCATTCTTTGTGCAATGGGGTTTATAATAATTGTTGTCAGTACGAGAAATCTAATGCAGTAATCTACATATTATGAAGCTGCCTAGCCATTTAGATAGATAAATAAAAATGGAGGCAAATGAAAAGTGAAGAGGCAGTGCCCTGTCTCTGCCATCCTTCCTTACAACACATCCATTAATTCTAGTGGAAACTTTGCTCTAGTGCTTTCACAGAGCTATTGGACTGGGTTGGTTTGGTTACATCACCAAGGCTAACAAAGGTGCAGCTTCTGAAAATAAAATAGGGCTTGTAAACAACAAATGGCATCAGTGAAATTTCTTTGTAACTTATCATGTGGAAGATTGCTCTCCTTTGTCCTGTTGCTCTTTCCAATTCTTTCAAACTAATAAAAGATTTGTGTTTTTTAAAAAGTAAGCAGGTTGAGGAGTGTTTCAGAAACTTTATCTCCCTTTCTCTGTCATGTAACAAAAACACAAAGAGTAACAAGAAGTGTTTGTTCACTGAGTGCATATGCTGTACTCTTCAAGTGTGAGCTCTAGGCATTTACCGAACTTACAAAACTGCAGGGCTCTGTTGGACATGGTTGTGCTTGTAGACTCATGCAGTTGGGGCTGCGTGCTCCATTCTTCTATTCTGTAGTATGAGTACGATATACAAACAGTGAAGAAACAGGGCCAGATAGTATCTGCAAACTGAAACGCATTTTTCCTTTTGGATTCTACTCAGCAATGAGCTTGCATGATAGCATGAGATTCCTTCCCAACCACCTGCAAAGCGAAGTCTGATTTGAAACATTTCTGCCCCAGTTGCCATTAGCAGTCGTAATGGTTGACACAGGGTCAAAAAATCATTGAACCTCTAAGGAGCATCATTTCCTCTTCAGTGTTAGGCTTCACTTTTCTTTGACACATTAGTCCTGAAGCAGCTTCAGGCTCTTGACCTCTCCTTTAACCCTGATAACTAATTAAAGATGGACAAGGCTTAAGCTAAAATACTTTTCGTTAAACCTATTCATTCTCAAGTCCCCTTCAGGCACCCTTTATCACACAGACAGAGCCCACCGTATTTACATGAAGATGAAACTAGGTGCCTCGTACAATAATACAAAAAATCCTTTTACAAGACCTAAGTTAACCTTTGTGGTGAGAAGGTAGGAGGCATTTTATAGCCTGTAAAATATATCCTCAGCACATAGTGGAAACGCATAGTCCAAAGCATACAGTTCAAGAAAAATCTGAGGATAATTAACTCTATGTATTTGTAGAATTAAAAGTTCAAACATAGATTCCTCATCTGACTGCTATGTTAACAGTCTAAACATGGTGTCTTGAATACAAAAACCAAAGAAGATCCTTAGTGCTTTTTCATGTCCTGGAAGCAACAACAGAGCTCAGACTGGAGAGTCATCAGCTGTAGGCAAACAGGGCTAGTGGTAAATCATAGCATCAGCACAACTTGGTTTAATATAAATCAACCCATGTAAAACGTTTTGTTTATGGCTAGGGCACATGAAAGGAGTTCAGCACTGTCAGTTTGAGAGATGTTCTATAACTGGATGCGATACATTGCAAATTCTTTCTTTTTATGCTGTTTCATATTAATAATTAAGCTTGCTTCTTGCATCAGTGTGTTGGGGTTAAAATGTCAGTCCTTTGGTTTTAGCAAGTATGGCTATTTATATCCTTACTGTTCCAATTATTAAAACTGCTGCAGACTTCTGCTTCCAGATTTCTAATGCTGTCAGTGCTGGCATTTTTCTTAGCAAAGACCAATGAACAACACCTCATGATTAATAAAACTGCAGTCTAGTGGGATGTTATGGGTCCTGATTGCATGAGATATCTGAAGTGCCCAGTTAATTAAATAAGCAGGATCACTCCATCCCAGAGAAACACAGGACACTTGCCCATGCCTCAAATAACTGCTCAGTCAGCTGGCATTCTGGTTGAGGCATTGAGCTGAGACCAGGGAATGGATACTCTTGTGCAACCATGAGGAAATCTGTCCTGGCAGGTTGAAGGTCCCATCTGCAAAATGGATGCATCAGCCTAACAGCTAGCACTGTAATGCACTACACCTTCACAACTGAGTGCACAATGCACCACTCAGGTTCTTTCTTCAAAATGTATCCAAAACGCCTCAATCAGCATCATTTACTAAACAGCCAGCAGCAGTTATACAAAGGACTACAACTGAAGTTATGTTTACAGAACAACTAGGAAATATATCCCAGTTATTTTGGAGCCAGTGATAGGTACAGAAGATACCAGGTTTTTCTCTGCGCCCTTGTAGTAACCTCTTGCTTTCATGTTGGTCTCTTTCTGCACCCATGGTGCAGCTCAGGTGCAGGTCTTGGAACAGAAGTCTGATGTCAGGTGCTCAGAAGAGCTCTCTCCATGGGGTAGAGGAGTCCTGATGGGACCAGTGTTCTGAGACTAACACTAATCCTCATCATGAATATCTACTGATTCACTATTTTCTTCCTTGGGTCTAAATGGTATTATTATTGGTGTAGTGCTAGTTACCTAATTTCATCCGCAGCCAATTTCTCAAGAACCATAAATTATTTTGTAGGAGGCTGATTTATCCCAGCAGAAGTCTAAATTGAATTAGAAATCCATTAGCTAAATTCTGAGCAGGGGTTTCCAGGGAGAAAGAGAAGGGGAGGGAAGTAACTTGGGAATCTGAGTATAAAATGGGGGGGGGGGGGAGGAAAAAAGTCCTTAAAGAACTAGCAAAAGGAAAAAAAAAAACAGACAAATATAATCTTTTTGAATTAAGCACATAGGTATATAGGCAGCCAGATGGAAGAATGCAGATTGTTGCCTAGGATCAGACATATGACTCATATATTTATTTATTTATTTTGACTAGCAATTGGCTTTGTAAATACATGGGACTTTGTAAGCAGATGAAAAGTAAAGGCCTGTCATGCTCACATTCATGCAGATAACAACAGATTGTGTGTACTATATATACTAGTAAAGCCAATAATAAAGTGTTCAACCAAATCTTAATACAAAATAATCAACTGCATTCCTTCCCCTGGGAGAAAATGAAAGCAAGAGAGACTTATTACTTTGGGAACCCACAAGATGATTGAATCTGCTAGGGTCCTCCATGCAGAGCCAGTTTATTCAAGGGGATGCATAGACAATATCCCCCTCTGAGAACATTTACTGACAGGAAAGCAAATCCTTTCCTCTGCCCTACCACCAGCAGCTTCAGCACATGAAGGCAAATGGAAAGAGAATGCAGCTAGTTCACTTAGATTAACACCCTATCATTTTCTAAACTTGGAAATGATTATGGATGGATCCCAGGGCCCATGGAGGGACACTGCAGCACAGAACCTCTCATTCTGCATTCACAGAGTCATTTCAGAAGTCTGTGAAAGGGATGAAGCATTTGGTTACAGACTGCAGATTTCCCCCTGCAGTGTCTAAATTCACTGACACTCACTTCCTTAGACTTGTTGATTTCTTACTCTCAAATTCATAAATAATTGAAAAAAATAATTGTAAAACTTTAAACAGCAACATGAGACAGCAGGCCTCTGGCTCTTTATTCCCACCTCAATCTTCGACCCAAGTGTCTGCAAAGCATGAAGCGCCCTTCTGTCATCAGGAGTGTCCAAGATAGCTCAAACTGAAGTTGCTGACACTAACAATATCAAACACACTGTGCCAATAGGATGCCCTGACAAGATCATGAGACTTTTTCTGGATCACAGTGTGAAACCTCAGTACCAGCAAAACATGCGGTCACCTTTCTTATCCACCATCCCACCCTTTGCTTCCAAATTTTTCCAGGTTCACTCCACACCACTAAAACAAAAAATGAACAAGAGAAGGAAAAGAACAGAAACCCTTCTAAACACTCAGTAATCAGCACTACAACTGAAATGATGGTAAATGAGAGAAACCCTCAGTAAGTACTGAGAACAGATGCAACACCTATGTTTCGTGGAATGGCAGACAGCTCTGGTGTGTAGAGACTGGCATCCTAAGGTTAATTCCCGGATCTTGCTTCTCTTTCTCATCTGTAAACAGTTTCTTGTCTGCTACATTCATTTTTAATGTACAATTCTTACCCACAGAGATAGCTATCTCTCCATATGCCAACAGAAAATGCCACTGATATTGGAGTGTCAGATCATGAAAAGACAATAAAAGAGTTGCTACCAAGATGTTTTTCATTTCAGTACTGTTAATTGGTTTGAAGTAAATTAGAAGCATTCCAAAACTGGGATTATAGGTCAGATACTCATATTTTTTACTTTCCTTGACAGTATCCATAGCTGAAATCATACATGCAGAAAGGGAGAGAAAAGGCTGCCTGAGGTATTTCTAACTTGACCAACTCTAGCAGCAGGGAATAAGAAATCCTAGATGTGAAATGATATGATGT